GAGAAGACAAAAGAGCTCCTTTTTGTCTTGAGCCCATTTTGTCTGAATGAATGATGTTTTCTTTTTTGATCCAGGCCCAAGTAGGTCACGGTTATCAGCCTCTTCACTGAAGCAGGATTGGGGACAGAGACACACAAAATTCTCAAACAGGTGCTTATCAGACAAGGTACCGGACTATAAATCCCATATTTTCCTGTTGGGAAAGGCACCTCACATTTATTTTTGTAGAAGACTTGGTCGACAAAGATTTGTTAACTCCAAGGTTGTACTTGTTTATGTGTTATATAAGGAAATAGCTGTTTGCTTAAATCTTGGGGTTTAGTAAGCTCTGAACTGTCTTTGCAGACATTTTTCTTTTAATAATTTAGGCTTTAAGATATTACTTTACATGCTGCTTTCCCTTTTTTTAATCTCTGTGGTTTCTCTTGCTGCAAAGCAAGGAAGGATAAATAAAAGGGATAACATGGAATTAAAATGTAAAAGACTTTAAAAAGTTACATGCACAAGTTTGGAAAGAAATGGAAATCACCTTCACTGGGAAAAAGGCGACAGCACAAAATTTCAGTTTATTTTTTTTGCATTTAATGAGTTAAAAAGAAAATGAGGAAACACTTCATGGAGAAAGTTAGCCTAGACCAGATTTTCCTAGTACATGTATATGGCAGGTAACCATAACTTGGTGATACCCAAAAGGAAGTCTTCATGAAGAAGGCAGATAGGAATGTAGAAACCACCCACGGAGATAAGGTTATCAGGCTTTATTGTACCAAGGCCATGTATCAACCAGGAATGGGGGAGATAGGCAGAATCAAGTAAAATTCACCTGAAAAACCTGGATACCGAAAACACCATTTAAATAAATCAATAGACAGGCTGTTTCCTGTATAGAGCTCATGACTAAGAAGCTGTGAGCTGAAGCTTCCTATCTGAGGCAGGAAAGACAACAATATTCACTGCACTGAACAAAAGACTTGTGAAACCGGACTTCAAGCCTAAATGCAATGCTTAGCAGTCACACAGACCCCTTCCAAGGTCATTGCAAGGATGTTAAGGATAAAACAAGGCTTCATTTGTACTGTCCTGGGCTTCTTTGGGAAAGGAACAAGCACAAATAAAGCCCAAGGGCATAGATGGAAAATCAAAGGAAGGACACTTTCCCCCCCCCCCCCCGGTGAAAAGATCATTACTACTAAGGTACGCTGCAACAACATATCATTAAATCACACCGATTCTAGCTATGATGACTCTCCAAAATTCTGATCTTTTTAAAAATTATATCAGTCTTCCTTCTTTTTATATCCAGAAGAGGCAATAATTCATAAAGTCAAGGATTTGTACGGGACTTTTTGTACAGCAGGAACCAAGAGATTTATTAAAATAGACTTCAGATCTGCCTCCTTCCCTATCCTGAAGAATTCAAGCAGGTAAAATTAAAATAGATTGTAACAAGCAAATGAAAAATGGGGAAAGCATTTTTTCTGCAAAATATGCCTGGTTTGGGCCAAAGTGATTCTACCTAAAGGGTAGGCACAGGTATCTGGTGTTTTGCACCGGTTAAGAACCACAGTGTGAGACATCATGTTTTGGTGACGTGGTACATCCTGTCTATCTCACATCACCATTGAGGAAATCCACACCTTTGTTTGAATCTAATTTTCTCTCTTTTAGCAATTTCTTAGGGGATGACATTTTCCCCCAACTTGAAGGTTGAGAGAATCAATTATGCCTGTATATATGGAATAGAAGGTGGGGTAGTGGCTCAGTGGTTAAGATGCTGGGCTTAGCGGTTGGAAAGCCAACAGTCCATGATCGAGACCCTAGAGTTGTGCAATGGGGTGATTTCATCCTCGCTGTAGTTCTCAAAATCACTATGAAGTATTAGTACCGCTTTATAACTCCTTAGTAAGACTAGACCTGGAATATTGCACCCAGTTTTGGTCACCGTATCACAAAAAAGATGAAACTTTGGGGGAAAGTGCAGAGTAGAGCAACTAAGATGATTAAAGGCCTGCAGACTAACACATATGAAGAACAGTGGCAGGAGTTGGTTCTGGATCGTCTAGAGAAAAGTAGGACTAGGGGTGACATGAGAGCAGTGTTCCAGTATCTGAGGGGCTGCCACAAAGAAGAGAGGGGTCAACCTATTTTCCAAAGCACCAGAAGGCAAGGCAAGAAACAATGGTGGAAGCTAATCAAGGGAGAGAAGCAACCTAGAATTAAGGAGAAACTTCGTAACAGTGAGGACAATTAACCAGTGGAACAGCTTGCCTTCAGAAATTGTGGGTGCTTCATCAATGAAGGTTTTTAAGATAAGACTGAGCAGCCACTTGCCTGAATAGGTTCTAGGATCTCCTGCTTGAGCAGGGGTTTGGACCAGAAGACCTCCAAGATCCTTCCAGCACTATTCTGATTGATTGGATCCTGCCAACCTAGCAGTTCATAAGCAGGGAAATGCGAGTAGATAAAATAGGTAACACTTTGATGGGAAGATAACAGCCCACTGTGACATCATGCTGGCCATATGACTGCGGAAATATCTTTGGACAGTGCTGACTCAATGGCCCTTGAAATGGAGATGAGCGCCACCCCCTATAGTCGGCAATGTTTAGTGGTGTAAAATCTAGGGATTCCTTTTTTATATAGAATAAGGCAATAAAAACGGAGTATGGTTGGCATAAAAAACTCTGGTTTTAAAATTGAAATACTCCTTTTTTTGTTCAGTGTCATAACTCTTTGAAATTACTTTGCATCTATTTCCATGCTTAGGAGTGTATTCTTTGGGTAATTGCTCCTATATATAATCAGTCTTGAATGCTCATAAGCTTCTTTTCTACTCTTTAAAAAACTTATAAAAAAGATACAAAATACAGATACTTCACTTTTCTTGTTCACTTGCCAATGAGTTCAAAATCTGAGAAAAAAAAGTTCCTTTATACAACCCTTGTATTTCTGGATGAAAAAGAACTCTTTTTCTTAAATAATAAAAAAATCTAGCTCCCCACTTGCTGCTTATGCTTAAGAAATGTGTTTGTGAGGCAAATATAATTTTTAGTATCAACCCTATATTTAACTCTGCAGTTATTGAAACACACACACACACACACACACACACACACACACACTCTTGGGGGAAAAAATCAAAAGGCGCTTCTTTCCCAGAAAGTTGTATATATGATTAATGGTGGCAATTACAAACATAACATTTCAGTCTTGTGGAGGCCAAGAAGCAGGAACATAAAAGAAACAAGAAGTCACTTGCATTGCAAGTAAAATGGACGCATCATGTTATCTGGAAAATTATCATCGGTGTTTTCTTTAGGAAAAATTGGAGATCCCTCTGCAAATCCTCAAAATTGATGATCATTTTTACAGGAAAATGCAGTGACTCTATAGTCATCTGAAAGATTGTCCTCTATCTTGAAAGGGCTTCACAAGTTATCTCATTGGAACACCAAGCAATGGCAAAATGTAGATTAGTAATAACGCACTGCAGATGTTTCATAATTTACTTTCATTGTTGGCTAACGTGGATAATGGGCAATCACAATCAGGCATCCTCACTCCATATCTGTTACAATATAGTTATGTTATGCCTATCATCCTTCTCTACTCTTGTCACCTGAATGAGCCATAACTGCAAATCACATTTGAGTTAACTTCTTTAGACAGTCATAGTTCCACTAAATTTTGATTTGCCCCATTATGATGAACATTAATTAACTGATACTAGAAGTTTTCCAACCTCCTATTTGTAATCACATTGAAGAAAGAAAAGGGAGGGATGTGCTCTTTATACATGAACAGGAGATTCAGTAATAGCATTAGCACTTATATACTGCTTCATAGTGCTTTACGGCACTCTCTTGGGTGGTTTAGAGTCAGCATATTGCCCCCTTAAAATAAGCTCTTCATTTTACCAACCTCGGAAAGATGGAAGGCTGAGTCAACCTTGAGCCAGTCAAGATCGAACTCCTGGCAGTCAACAGAATTAGCCTGCAATACTGCATTCTAACCACTGCGCCACCAAGGCTCAAGTTAACATCAAACTATGGTTTAGTATTAGATTTAAATGCAGATTTTTTAAAACAACCTTTGTTTAACAGGGATGCCATTATCTGGTTTGACAACGATTATAGAGATATTGCCATATTTTTTTTAAACTTTCTTTAGTGTTTTTAAGAGCAAAGTCAAAGCAAAACAATATAATTCTTGAAGGATTTTGACTGATATTTTAACACTCAAAAAGTGTGAGAACTATATTTACATAAATTATTCTCTACTTAAAAAGAATGTTCTTTTTTTTCCACATATGGAACAAATTGATGATGATGATGATGATGATGATAATGATGACAATAGTAATAAACTTGTGCTGGTTTTCTTTTGCTTGTATTTTTCACACTGCAGTTTGCATTGATTTATTTGCTGTGTATAAATAACTATATATATTTATATATATTTAATTCTGCAGTGCCAAAAGCTTTATGTTAATTACACAAAGAGATTTGCCATATTCAAAATATACACATTACATGTAATATCTTTACAGCTTGTTGTTCTTCTTTTTTTGGTAGCCCAGGGAGGTGTATTACTTGCTACATGCTCCAGTTTTCAACTGTAGTTTTCATCTGTGTGTCCGTACGTGTTGGTGTCATGTCTATATGGGTTATGTTTGCACTTAAAATACAATAGCACTATAACTCTAAAACAAAGTGAAAAATAATAATTAAATGTTCATATAGAGTAAAAAATATAGAGCATTTTCAACTCCAGCTCTAATGTGGTATGAAGGTTGAATCTGTATTTTTTTTTCAGCCCCCCCTTTTTTGTATTAAAAAAAAAGAAAATAGATCAGGTAAGATTCACCCTTCCCAAATTAAAAAAAACACAACCCACCCCAATGCTTTATAAGATCGTCATCTGAATACATGATATTTTGTAAAGTGGAGGAATGAACATCGTGGAGTCTTACAGCAGAGTTCTACAAATGGGTACTTTTAAGAACTGCTGATATTTCTGATTTGACTGAGTGACTGATGTTGTTGGCTTTATTTTAATATCTGTCTTTACTTTTTATAATGATAATTTTGCCCTTCTTGAAGCCCAGTCATCCTTTAACCTGGGCAGTTCTGGAAAATTGATAGGGAGCGGCCACTCCTGGTCAGACAACACTCTGGTGTTCAATGAGGTATCAAAGGAGGAGAAGGCCTCCCTTTTGGCTTGAAATCTCTCCGTGACTTAGAACCCTTTGATGTAGCAATAGGCCTCCAGGGTAGCAAATAAAATGTACAATAGCCACAGACTCACAAAAAGCAAAGTTGTGGCAAGTCTGCACCCTTTGGGGCCTCCTAGTTCTCCTCCAAAATGAGGCCGTCTTCGGTACAACAGCACACTGATGCAGACAAAAGCAAAAATGGTGAACAGTGTCACAGAGAAGGCAAGAGTGCCGGCTGATACATGGAACTCCTCTCCTTGATAAGCCCAGTAGATGGCAGCTACTGACCAGGCCAGTCCAATGCCCAAGAAGACGTTGACTGCATTGCTGCCTGTGACATTGCCAATGGAAGCATCTGCATGAATGTCTTGTACAGCGGCCGCTTTGCTAGCAAAAGTGTCTGGAAAGGAAAAGAAACAAATGCGTAAGTAGCAGTTCAAGCAGTCTTCCCAGTTTAAAAAAAGACAAACATGGTCCTGGCATGAAGAAGATGGGGACACCTTTTAGGGCAGAAAAAGAAAGGGCCAACAACATTTAAGGTGGTGAATCAGTGTGCTCAAATGAAAGCTCACACGAAAGAGATGTGCTGAAGAGTACTTAGTCCAATCAGTCCCACCAGTGATACCTCATGAAGAGAACAAGGTCTTAACTCAAGTCTTTCCAAATCTGGTTGGTGGGATGTGTACATTGGCCCCCATCACATCTCTCCAAGAGGTCCAAAGGAGGGCTGCCCTCCAGCACTCATACCTGCTTGTTCCTATTCAGCTGGGGGTCTTATTCTATTCCATTCAAGCAAAAATAACCACAGGGCCTCTTAGACCTCCAATGTGGAATTTGGGGAGATTAGAATTTGGGAGAAATATCAGTAGCATTCATATCTTTCCTCTACCCACTTTCAAGGCCTCTGGTGTTTGTTTATTTATTTGTTTAAGACCAGTGTTTCTCAACTTGGCAACTTGAAGATTGTGCACTTCAGCTGCCAGAATTCTCCAGCCAGCCATGCATCTACACATCTTTTGAGTTGCCAACACTGGTTTAAATGAATGCCCAAAGAGGCTCCAGTCATGATAACCTCCCCCTTTCATGTATTGTACTCCAAAGGAGAATCATACATGCAAATGTTTCCCTTTCACACTTCCGTTTATACCTAGAGAGATTTGATACGTAAACTGAAGATGGACAGCACAGGTGTTTGCAGAGGGATGGGTGTGTGGCTTCTAACTTTCTTTGGTAGAGGTATAGATAAAAAAAATACATCAACTTGTACTCTAACATTAACAATTGTCTATATTGCATCTATATTTTTTTCCTTTTTTGGGCACTTCTTTTTTTTTCCGGGCTATTTTTTTATTCATGATTTGGAATTTAATCAAATCATATTTTTTTAAAAGAAGCAGATGTTTCTGCAAGAGTGGGTGGTGTTAAAATCAGCAAGACAGCAAGTGGGACCACAAGTGATGCTGAGGAACAGTATTTGGCAGCATGTGCAGCCCTACTTTTATTCAGTGGTGCAAAAGACAAAAGTACTACAGTGATTCTGGATTGTATCCCATGTCTTTTGGCTGTCTTGACTATGTGAAATTATAAGTAGCATTTAGTCTTAGTAGCAACAGGGTTTGTTAAATGATAGCTGTGTTTATATGCTATCATTTAGCATAAAGTACCTTAAAGTGTTTTTTTCGCATAAGAATGAAAACAATTAGAAACCTGTTTGGTGGAAGTGACTTATATTTGTAAGCTAATTTGGTACTAATATGCACAATCAAGGCCATTAATTTTGTGCAAAGAAGGAAAATACTAAAATGTTCCCTACTCCACAAACAAGTCCTATCAGAAATATTTAAAAGAATCATTTCTAACAGTTCAGCCAGAATATCCGTTAACTGGCTTCTTGAGATAAAATATGAGACACTTTTATCATTTGCTGACATTGCTTTTTATTTATATGTACATATGTTTGGAAGGTGCAATACATCATAAATTCCAAACAGGCTGATGGGTGTTGCAAAATATTTCTTCATTATTTTTCTTACTTGACAGCCCTCCAAGGAGTTAAGTAAGGCAGACATAATTTCTTCTCCTTGCTTTTCCTTATAAAAATCCTGTAACTGGCTTTCAGATGCCCCTGCTTATTCTCTTTGTCTAAGCCTGGATATTTTTTTAAATGACATTTTTGGAGGACATTTCTAGGATGCTGCACGTAACTCTGTGATAGTTTGCAACCATGGTTAGTGATGGAGTAGTTAGCAGCCACGTGGTGCTACCTGACCGTCTCAAAGAGTCCCAGTCTCACCTGGGACCGAAGTGCCAAAGGCCACGAAGACCACGGCGGTCACAGAATCCTTGAGGCCAATTGTGCAGCCAAAGTGGGAGGCCAGATCTCCAATGATGGCAGTGAGCATGCCGATGATCAAGATGGACACAATGAAGCAGGCCCAGCCATTGCAGTACTCTGTCGGGGGCACGCAGGCAAAGAGCACTTTCCAGAAGACGGTCAGGAAATGCATGACATAATCAAAGCAGGAGGGCAGGCGCTCCTCACCAGACTCATCCTCATCCTCTTCACCTGCTGTAGGAAAGACAAAATAGAGAGCTTCAAATCAGTGGATGCTATGCAAACCCCCAACTGTCCAAGCCTAGAAACAGTGAAGGGATAGCAGGTCATACAATCATCACTTTATTAGGTTGCTCTTGGAGGAACTGTTGGCTTTATTCATTTCTCAGAATAGCTTGCTTTCAAATATGCACATCAGGTAAATAGCATCCAGAGAACACAGTTTTCCAAACTTTTTCATTGTTTATGTACGTGCTTGAACGGGCTAGTGTCAAGCTTGAAGCGCACACACGATATTGCTACCATTACTGCTTCTTAGCTTGCCAGTGCACTTGGGAGGGGGGAAAGGGGGAAAAATGGAATGCAGACCCCAGACAACAAGAAAACCAACTGTGTGAACCAAGGATGTTTCAACAGGTGTCTGCCAACAAACAAAGACACTTTCCCATAACAATATTTTAACACTTGATTGGACAATGTGACCTGCATTAATAGGGAGAGGGAGAATTCTATATTTTAATTATAGCAGTTTGCGTGGGAAATAACCAGAGCTGGTTTTGCTTTCAATCATGCCGAAATGATGTACTCAATAAAGTTTTGCACAAAGAGATTGGATCGTCTCATCGGTGCTTACTTGGTTGGGTTCGTTAGTCGGAACCTTGACAGCGAGTATCAATTACCGATCTGTCCCTTGAAAAGGTATTCTATGAAAATAGCCATTTAAATAATTAAATATGCTTCACAGAATAATAACCTTCTTGCCTGCCCCGTATGGTTCACGGCCATTTTTGTATTTAGAACCATCATCTGATCAAAAAAGAGAACATTCCAGGTTAAGGGATAAATAAGGCTAACTGCTAGAGCTGCTTCTTCTTTCCTGATCTTCAGGTTGTTGGCTAGCTCCTAAGAAGCTTCAGCATATATTCCATTAAGCTACTTAGGAATTTCTAGCACAGTTATACACAGCTAGCTGCCCTCTAGATAAGGAGGATGCAAAAGAACTAGAGTTCTCATCTTAATAAACATAGAGGACACCAAATTAGGAAACCTCCATCCAGTGTCATGCTGGTATTTGATCCAGAAATTTGTCATGATTTTATTTTCTCATTCCCAATCTTCCTTCAACTATGAACATTGGTTGCTGGCTGTTTTCTCCGAGTCTCTGCTTCTTAATCTTGTCACCTATCTTCTTCCTGAAATTGCTCTGTTTTCTGGATCAAACAGTTCCACCTTCTCCTATGGGCATGAAGCCTTTAGAAGCTCTTTGATGGTAACTGATTTTCTTGCCTACAGCATTCTGTGTTGTTTTTCTTATCTCCCAAAAAGTACACAAGGACCTTATCATTGCATACCTCTATGCTTCCTGAAAGGCTACCTATTTAATTACAGATGACCTATATAAAATCCAAAATAGTGGTGTAACATGGAGAGCTTGGCATACGGAGGAAAAGTCAGGAAATTCCATCCCCTCAAAGCTGATCATGGAAAAAAGTCTTTTTCTAGTCAAAAACTTTCATGAGTGATACAAAAAAAAACAAGGCAGTGTTAAAACTGTACTTTCATTCCTTCTGATTTTATTAGTTTCTGGAAAGCTAGCAGGGATAAACAGTTTGAGACTGCACTGGGGTTCCTTATCTCTTGTAATGATAATATAAATCTTGAAAGTAGGTAACAGCAAAGGAAGCAACACTCAATGTCCTTAACTTTGTTCTTATATGAGCACCTGGAGGATGACCACATTTATCACCATAGCAACAGTGACAGCATTGTGGAAAGATTGAAGGTAGGCAGTCTTTTTCATCTTTTCTCAGAAGAAGCAAGTATTTGAACTAAAGTTATTCAAAGAAATTATTTCCCACACGACAAAGTAATTGAACTTCAGTATTTGGTGTTAGATACAAGACAGAAAGGCTCATTCTTCTCAGTGCCCAAAGTTACATATTCAAGAGGGGACCAGCTCTGGTGCCTTAAAAATCTTAACTGGAGCTTGATACAAAAGATCAAGCTTGGGATTAAAGAACTCTTGAGTCCAAGGACCTGCTCTAAATCTCAAAACAGTATTTTCCCCCACAAAAGTCCCAAAGGTGCTTTTTCAAGAGGCAACTGGATTTTCTTGTTTTTCTTTGAAGATGTTTCACTTCTCATTCAAGAAGCTACTTCACTCTGAAGCTTCTTGGATGAGAAGTGAAATGTCTTCAGAGAAAAACAGGAAAGTCCCGTTTTCTCTTGAAAAAGCACCCTTGGGACAACCATGACCTGGATGACCGAGAATCTCCATAGACATTTCCTCACAAACATTTCTCTTAGTAAAAGTCTCCCTTCAATTTTATTTCAGCAATAGATGGCTACTACAATTGTTTATCATTGTTAAACAATCAGGAAGCAATCCATGTCAATCTATTGCTGAAGACCAAGAAATGTACTAGGTCAGTGATGGCGAACCTTTTAGAGACCGAATGCCCAAATTGCAACCCAAAACCCACTTGTGTATCATCGGGTACTGGGTGGGTGTGGCCAATTGGGTGGGCGTGGCTGCAGTGATAACGGCAGACTTGGTGGGACTAAAAAGTTCAATCAATCAATTCCAACTTTGCGAGATCTTTTTTTTCCCCATGAGAAGTTGAAATTGATTGATTGATTGAACCTTTTTTTTTTTTTTGCCCATGACAGTGGAGGCCTAAAGCGAAAAAGCTGAAGTCCTAGGACTGGGGTGATGGCACGCGTGCCCACAGAGAGCTCTCTGAGTGCCACCTGTGGCACGCGTGCCATAGGTTCGCCACCACTGCACTAGGTAATCCCAATCTACCTTCATTCCAACATGCTTGTGTATGTATGCTTTGCTGGGGTGTGTGTAAGGAAAAAGAATGCAATAGTATTTGGGTAAACACATTACTACCAATGTGGATGTCACAGATGGAATTTCCATACCCCCCTTGAATTTCCATACCCCCCTTGAAGTCTTTCCTTTGGAGTGAGGCTCAAATTCAGGTGCCAGCTGACATGGGCAGAACAATCAAAAGGGTTCAGAGTTTCTATGATACAGCATTAAGCATTAGGGCTCTGCTGGTTAATGTTTTCTTACCAGTGGGGCTTGTTGTAACCTTGGACTTTATGGTACAGATTGTTTACACTGCTGTTTTTAACTCTGCATGCTAAACTCTGCATGCTGTCCAGAGTTACTGCTGTGAGATGGGCAGCCATTTCACTCAATCAAATAAATAAAAGTTAGCAACATATTTTCATCTAACAGCTTTGTATCTGGAAGGTGGGCTTCAAACGGATTACCTTTATTCAAGAGGTTTCTTGCAGTAAACACATGGGTGGCACTGGGAAAAATGGGTGAAAAATGAAATTCTAATTTGTTTTGTCTCATATGGTTTCTGTCAACTTCTCTTGGGATTAGCCATGGCTTTGACTTGCACCCCTACATCAGAGCTCTGGGCAGCATTTACCAAAACACCCACTCAAACTTCATGACCTTCCCTATTTGGACAGAGTTCTTGGCTCTACAAAACTTACTTTGGCTAGTTAGAAAGCAAGAGGGTTCTAGTCTCCAACTCCCTTCTTCCCCTTTTGTCTCCCCTTCTGTGCAATGCATGAATTCAAAGGATTCTTTTAGAAAAGAAAAGCAAGAGAGTGGAGGAGTTGGCAACTTTAGTCTTCTAATCACTCTGCTTTTTTCTTTTTTCTTTTTTTACTTTTTTTTTTTTAAAAAAAGATCTGTAATGGTGCCTCTGACACTTTCTCAAAATCTCAAATGCATCTGTTGGGCACAAAATGTAGGAACTCCTGTTTTTCAGCCTGTCCTTGCTAGTGGCCGGTTTTGCATCAACACAATAAGAGCAGTAGATCAAACAGGAAATGTTTTCCACCTGAACATCACTGTATCTTAGCATATCTGGCACCGGCAGTTGGCTACCATGGATGAGGGCAAATTCCTGAGATTGAAGACTTGCATAGAGTAATCTTGAGAAGAACTCCTTTAATAATATGCACTATTATAGGAAGCGTATATCACAAAGCAAGGGAAAAATAAACTGGAAAAAGGCAAAGGAGAGATGTGGGAACAACAAATCGGCAGTTTGATATAAAACAGGCCTTTGTGAAAACAGATCCTGTTGACTCTAATGGTTTTTATTTTGGGATATGAGTGATTTTGGCTGCAGGCAGAGTATTCCCCAAGCCATGCTCAAATAGGGAAGGAAGAAAAGAGGAGTGAGAGAGACATAGTGAGTGTTGAAATACAAACTGCTATAAGCAAGGAAATCCCACAGCTGGTAGTGAGAATACTTTCATAAACAGAATGCTTGGGATTTTCCTTGCACTTTTCTCTTTGTGTCTGGGAAGCTCACATACAGCAGAAAATGTAGACTTAATGGAAATTAACTCTCTTCCCAGGAAGAATGCTAGTATCCAGCTAAGATGCACTCTTAACATTTGCAACAGGATGCTATGACTATTTTGTGAACCATAGAGTTCACTTAAAACAGAGGCCCTTAGCGTGCCTAGCCACAGAGGTATGTGGATTTAAAGCACTCTTTATCACTAAGGAGGCAGGTTCTGTGATATGTGTTGCAATGAGTTACCAAAGTCTATCCAAAGGAGGAAGCATTCTAACTTAATTGAATAGATAAATCAACTAGTTAGATTCTACTAAGGTAATTAAATAAAAACAGCTGGGTTACTCAAAATGAAACCCAATTGATCAGTCAAGAACAATTTTAATAGCGTGGGGTTAATTTTAATTACTGGCAGTGAGAATTAAAGGAATTAATTTTACCTAATCTGATTCTGGAAAATTACAGTTAACAGGAATTATTTTTAAAAAATAATTTCTAATAATCAGTTCTTTATTAAACTGTAAATTTTCTTTTTATTGTGACCTTACATTTCCTGGAAATTTCACCATTCAGTGATTTTTGAACACCATTCTATTAAATAAAAGTTAAAAAACAAGGAATTAAACCAAAATTCTTTAGGATCAGACGTAATATGCACTCATTTACTATCCAGTGCATGGACACCCCCCCCCCCAAATCAAACCAAAGTCAAGCAAGTTAAACTCTTTCACCAGTCCATAATATTTATTGAGCAAGGGCTTCATAAAAACTCCTGAAGTAATTCATGTTAGAATTGCCCCCCCCTACCTCCGGGTGATTGCTTCCTTGGCTGAGTACAAGGCATTCACTCTGTCTCACCTGCACTGACAGTAATGGCTTCTATGAACTGGTCTCTCCATGAATGAGTTCCTACAACCAACGCCAAGTTTGTCTTCTTGATGAGCTTGTCCACTGTACTCTGTCAATTAGAAGAATACAAAGAATACTGGTTCAACTAAAGGCCTTCCTTTGGAGCATTGTTCAGTCAACATGGAGGCTGACTGAAGGTTTTAGGTAGCTTTTCCAAGCAGGTGTCTTCCAAGGGTTTTATGATGACATAACCCAGAATTTCCATTCCTTATAAGTTTGAATTGTAGTCTTAACTCTTTGAGAAAGTTTTAACTGCAAGAAGCTAACTTAAGCCACAGATAATGTCCATGAAAGAGTAAATGAAAGAAATGAAAGGCATAAATGTCAAACTATAAGTAGGTCAGGAAGTCATTTTATGACAGGTTGTTTGCCAAAAGTCATAGTTGCATCATTAAAAAAATGGCGTCTTCTGCTTCTTTATTCATATAAAACTTTCTCCCTTCTTGGTAAATGCCATTCTTCTTTCTTAGTCTTTTCCATAACCTGCAAAGTACTTTGTCAATGGATAAATTATTTTACATTCATATAGTAATTCCCTTTCATAATGGCATGAACTTAGCATGCTTAAGTTCCTCTACACCAGTGATGGCGAACCTTTTAGAGATCGAGTGCCCAAACTGCAACCCAAAACCCACTTATGCATCGTCGGGTGCCGGGTGAGTGTGGCCCATTGGCTGGGTGTGGCCCATTGGGTGGGCGTGGCTTTGGTGGTAAGGGCAGACTGGGTGGGACTAGAAAGTTCAATCAATCAATTCCAACTTTGCAAGATCTTTCCCCCCCCCCTGCGAGAAGTTGAAATTGACTGATTGAACCTTTTTTATTTTGCACACGGCGGCGGAGGCCTAAAGCGAAAAGGTTTTATAAAACCCAGCTGAAGGCCTAGGACTGGGGCAACGGCGTGCGTGTCCACAGAGAGGGCTCTGAGTGCCGCCTCTGGCACCCGTGCCATAGGTTCGCCACTACTGCTCTACACTGTACCATCCCCAGCAGCCCTAAAAAGCACTGTGGAAGAGTGGGGAATGCTGGGAGTTGCAGTTCATCACCATCTGGGAAAACATGACTCTCCAAAGATCAATCCTTCCTTCCTTCCTTCCTTCCTTCCTTCCTTCCTTCCTTCCTTCCATCTCCATCCCTTCCCCTTCAATCTCTCTCCTTCCTTCCTTTCCCCTTCAATCTTCCTTCCTTCCTTCCCCTTCCCTCCCTCCCAACATTTTTGAGCAAGGAAGAGTAAGCTTCTCCAGCAAGCATTGCTATATTGTTTTTGTGATTAATCATTATGCTTTAATTATGTTCAATTCGTAACAATGAAAATACATCCTGCATATCAGATATTTACATTACAATTCATAACAGTAGCAAAATTACAGTTATGAAGTAGCAAAGAAAATAATTTTATGGTTGGGGGTCACCACAACATGAGGAACTGTATTAAAGGGTCGCAGCATTAGGAAGGTTGAGAACCACTGCTCTACACTGTTCTATGAGTCTTAGCAGACTTGACCTGGATTGAGACAGACATGTTGCTAAAAACAATTTCCACGGCAACCAACCTTCATAAACCTGTTTCAGCTAGATGTAAGGGCATGTCTGTTTGGCCTTTGAATCATTTGACAGTAAGGATTAGCAGCTGAAAACAGCAGAATAAATATTTAGCATATTTCCCTGTTAATTTCTCACATATATCAGTGTGATAATTCTTTTAGCTAGAAGCAACCACACATTTGTTAGTTCGTTCTTAGTTATGTATCTTCAACACATGAATATTTTATTATTTATTAGATTCTTTTTTATCCCGTTTTTATTATTTTTATAAATAATTCAAAGCACAACCTAACCTTCCTTCTGATGTAGGACTTTCCATCCATCACTGTTCAGAAGACAGTGGTGAAACTTCTGGCCATTCCTTTATTGTTAAATTAGGACCGTATTCTTTAAAACATCTCTTAATTATTTTCATTCAAACTTGCTCTCTCTTTCCCTAACCTCATTTATTTTTCTCATTGTCTTTTCTTCCCTCCCAGGACTTAGCCTGGACTTTTGCCTTAGCTTAGCATTCCATGCAACCCTCCTCTTTTGTTGAACCCTTCCTTTTTCCCTTCGGTCATCTTCCTTTCTTCTGTTTAGCTCTGCTAACCAATTTTTCTGCTAAGTTCTTTTCCTGCTCTTCCTTCCCTCATTTCCTGTCAAAAACTCTGAGTACCCGGCACTGACCTTGAACTCGTAGGACTCTTCAATGATAACCTCTAATTTTGGATGTTCACCCAGGATTGGCTTTCCCATTTCTGCAATACGTTTGGCTTCCTCTTCTTCCATGGTCAGCTTTCTTTCTGCCACTTCTGTGGAAGAAAACATAAATACACAGTGAGTCTTCAATATACTAGTAAGGGGACAAGGGAAAAATCAATAGCAAAAGGGCTGGATTTGGAATTTAAATGGTTCTGTTCCTTTTTTCAAGGGCCCCATTTGCCTTCACCCTATATCTGCCTTCACCAGAATTATCCAGGCTTGGATGTAGTGATGCACTTTCTATCTTTCAATTCCCAGTCAGATACAAGGTTTTATATGTATATTTATTGCAGAAAACTAGGAATTTAAATGAGGAAGAAACTACTAATCAAAAAGCACACCAGAATCTTGCCCTATATATACAGTATGTTAATCCATAGGTTTAAATCCTGAGCCCTTTTCAGCTATCTTTTAAAGTCAGCATCTGCTTCTTTCCTCTCTGTGAAGATTTCTGCCATTTGTCCATTGTTTACAAAACAATTTCTTCTTGTATATAAAAAAAATCAGTTTGTCTTATAGGAAACTGGGTTATATTACGAAGTCTGGCAGAAGATACAACCAATATTTTTTTTCTCATATTTTTATGTTTTGCTTTTTAATATGATAAGACCTGAATGAAACAGAATAAGGGAAGGATAAGTTCATTCTCTTTACAAAAAACGTGGCTTACAGAAAATATTGGAACTCCTTTTCTTTTTTAACTGTTTGCAATGTTATATTTAAGCGCTACCTGTGGGCCACATAATTCAGCACATAGTTGTATGCATAACCCTCTGAAGTATAATCATGCTTATACTTCTGCTGGATTGTGGCCTTGGTAATTTAAACATGAATTATCTATTTAGGTCATTGTGAGGGCTTATTATCTGAAATATGACTCATACATTTATTAAATATACATGCTTCCTTTTATGAATTCCTAGATTATGAAATTATTATGTTGTGTACCTCTCCCATTTCCTGCTTATTTTGCTATGAGCAAATCTGTGTCCAAAAATGTCACAATTTGGATCCAGTATTTTAATGTTTCAAAAGAGAGAAAAAGCTGCATGTAAAATGTATTTCTCAAGATATCAAGTTTTTATTTTTATTTTTTTTGGAACACCTCTGTTATACCAGAGTTTGCAGTGAGCATTAATCCAATCAACTATCATTCATGAAGAAAACCATAGTTCTTATTATGTTAAGCTTCTATAGAAACAATTCAAGATTTCAGTAGATAAAAAAGAACAATATAAAATACATTGATCAAGGGAAGGAAATCAATGTGCGCTTTGGTGGCACTCATTACTATCAATCCAACTTGGAAGAGACAAATGCAACAATCATTACTTTCCCTCCCCAAAAGCCAAAACTTAGATGAAAACATAAATGTTTTTTACTTATTTGTTCACATTGCAGAGAAGAATAAACCTTCAGCTGGTATCTGTTAATCTCTTCTACTACGGTCATCCATTTCAGCTTTTGTGTGTACTAGCATATATTTTAT